TTGCATCTTACCAAAAATCACTCATCACAAAATGAAAGTGAAAGCCCGATTATTTATTTATTTTTATGTTATGTTATTTATTTATGGTAAGGTGTACTAATTTTTTTTGCACTTTTCAATTTATATAATTTCTGATTAACATTGACATGCTTCATCAATCAACCAAACTTGCGGGAAAATCACTTTCACTTTGTCTTCTTTAGTTTTGAAATTTTGGATTTTGATCCCCCTTTCCGATTCTGCTGTGCTTTTATAGTGTTTTATTTTTTCTTGGTGACAATGTAAAAAAAGAATAACTAACTTTATTCCAGATGCACCATAAATGTGGCATGTCAAATTTCCAATACAAAATATTGAAAATGTTGTCCAATTTTATGAGAATTTAGTTATTGCAGTAATATGCAATGATATCTCCTATAGAAGAACAATGCTTTTTCGGGGAAAGAAGCACTCCTCAGGAGTGACCATATCACAACAACATACACACTGACCTAAATAAACAAAGACTTTCCATCCTACATATACATGGATATAATCTGCACAGCCTTCCAGTCTAGATAGTCAAACAAAAGGTATAACTTATTCCAGTCAAGTACAAAAGCCTCATACCTGAACATGCATGATTTACATCTGCTAAAGCTAAAGAGACTGTTTTTAAATAACTGTCACTATGATATGGATAAAAGAATAAACAGAAAGTATAAAATTGTTGACTTGTTCATTTTTATTAGTTAGAGCTTACTTAAACTTTGAATTAAGATAGGAATATCTGCTACATTTAAATGGTTGCCGAGTTTTTTTTTTATTTTGTATTTATTTATTTTTGTAATGTGGTTATTCATCGAGAATAAGGTATACATGTTATGTAACCTTTTTTAAATTTGATTAGTCAATAGTGACTTGTGTTGTAAACACAATGCTGCTGCAAAGTAAACAAAGTACAGGTGGGAAAGCTAAATGATTCATATTGACACGCTTTTCTGGTAATTAATCAACCAAACTTGCTTTTCTCAAGGAAGACTAACATGTCTTATGTATAAGCTTTCACTTTCAGTTTGTCTCCTTTAGTTTTGAACTTTTTTTGTTTTGATTTTGATCCCTCTTTCCAATTCTGATGTTCTTTATTTACATCTTAGTGCAACAGATGACAAAATTCATGGTTCAGATCACATTCCAGGTTTTGTCACATATCAGATATTTATTCATTTATGTATGCATGTAAGTAGGTAGGTAGATAGGTAAAATTGTTATTGATATTGGGCACTGCAGAAAGAATCAGAACAGAAAATGAAAGCCTCCAAAAATGGCGTAGCATCTTAAAGCTGCTTTTATATAGTAATAGTATTCACGTGATGCCATTAAAAGAAAAGGAAAAGAAAAAAAAAAGACAACAGCTTTAGCCATTGTTATATTTAGGTGCCTTATAAAGAAAAGCTTAACAAAAGCGTTGCATAAAAGACATTGCTTCTGAACAAATATTCATTCAAAAACAAACATCACAGTGAAACTGTGAAGAAAACAAAAGTGGATCTGCAGCATGGGAATTCTTTAGAGTAAATCTCATATAATCTTATTACACAATCGAAATGAAAGTATTAAATGCATTTAGCAAAAAATGTTTAAACAATAGGCAAAAAAAAACTCACACTGCAGTAACTTTGCTTTGACTAATTGTTTTATGTATACATCGGTTTGTGTGAATGCATGACAAGTCATCCTGGTCTCAAATTAGCATGCACCAATATTAAAATTCTGCCAAATAACAATAAATCAATTATCACAATTTTATGGCTAATAACTGATAAACTGTTGATGTTAAAATTATACAATTTTGTTTAAATACTAAAACAATTAAACACTAAAAACTAAAACCAGTGTACAGTATGAAAAATTGATAGGAATCATGAAATTTGCTAAAGTTTACATTTAGCAATGTTATTAAATTATCAGTGTTTTTAAAGAGCATCTTAAAGTGAACATTAGATTGATGGCAAAGGTAATCTAAATGAACAAGTGGAAATAATCATACACAGTTAAATACCTAATATTGACATAATAACTAATAATAATCATCATCTCTAATATAATTTGATAACAGATGCAGTACTGATATAATCGTTCCCGCTCTCTTTTTTTAGGACTACCCTTGTATAAAAAAAAAAAAAAAAAGACATCTGTTTGTGGTGGCAGACATGACCTGGATGCACCTAGAGGTCCTGATTGGCGGGGTTAGCCAATACTCCACCGTGGTTGGCCGCATCTGACTAATTGTGGTGTTTGTCTTCCGTATCCTGGTGTTTGTGTTGGCTGTTCAGCAGGTGTGGTATGATGAACATCTAGAATTCATCTGTGACACCACCCAGATAGTTCTTCCCAATCTCGCACGTCCGTCTATGGGCTCTCCAGATCATTTTTGTCACTTGCCCATCTCTGGTGGTGGTGGCTCACGTCAAGTATCGTGAAATGAAGGATAGGAAGTACACGGTCCACAAGGGTACACATCTGTATGCCAACCCAGGGAAGAAGCGTGGAGCCCTGTGGTACACCTACATACTCAGCCTAGTGTTCAAAGCTGGCTTTGATGCAGGCTTTCTCTATATTTTGAACTTAGTTTATCATTTCGACATGCCAAGAGTTGTCAAATGCACTGAGGAACCTTGTCCAAATACAGTTAACTGTTACAACTCCCGTCCTACATAAAAAATAAATAAATAAATCTTCACCGTGTTTAAGGTGGTCACCTCTTCTGTGTGTGTGTGGGTTTTTTTTGTGCATCTGTGAGATACTCTACCTCATTACCAAGAAAGTTTTAAAGTGCCTGCGCAAACAACAATACCGCTGAAGGGTTGGTCCAAGGGTCTCAACCACCCGAAACTACAGCAACATGCACTCTTTGCATGTGTAGGGGATAGCGGGGCACAACACATTTTTGGCTTTCTCACTTTTTGTAAATCCACTCGGAGTTCAGAGTTTATATCTTGTTTACAGATATGTGGTTTGGTTTCATATGATGTATACTTTTTTCTTCATTTACCCCAAAAGAATGGAAGTGAATTGTGACAACGTGCCCCATAGGTGGCCCATTGTAACATCTGGGGGGTACGTTGTAACATGACCATACAACAGCTTAAAATGATATCTAATCTAATTAAAAACATGCACAAAAACAAACTAAGATAGTTTGTCAATAAAATAAAATTATTAACTTTTTCAAATAAAATAGGTTTTTTTGTGCATCTGTGAGATACTCTACCTCATTACCAAGAAAGTTTTAAAGTGCCTGCGCAAACAGCAATACCGCTGAAGGGTTGGTCCAAGGGTCTCAACCACCCGAAACTACAGCAACATGCACTCTTTGCATGTGTAGGGGATAGCGGGGCACAACACATTTTTGGCTTTCTCACTTTTTGTAAATCCACTCGGAGTTCAGAGTTTATATCTTGTCTACAGATATGTGGTTTGGTTTCATATGATGTATACTTTTTTCTTTATTTACCCCAAAAGAATGGAAGTGAATTGTGACAACGTGCCCCATAGGTGGCCCATTGTAACATCTGGGGGGTACGTTGTAACATGACCATACAACAGCTTAAAATTATATCTAATCTAATTAAAAACATGCACAAAAACAAACTAAGATAGTTTGTCAATAAAATAAAATTATTAACTTTTTCAAATAAAATAATAGCATTTTTAAGAATTTAAAATAAACTAGTTTTGGAGTTTGACAATGAAGACATTGCAACATTGAGTTCATTTTCACAAATGTTTTAAATGGAGACAAATAAGTACATATAGATTATGTTGTTTCTACTGGTGTAAAATTACAACAATAATAATAAAAGTATGAGTTTACAAGTAAGTATCATGTTATTGTACAAACATCCGTGAAACAAAAGAGAAGACGTTACACGGTCTCCAATCACTTCATTGAATGAAAAAAATAAATGCCATGAAAATTGTTTCTACTGGTGTAAAATTACAACAATAATAATAATAAAAGTATGAGTTTGCAAGTAAGTATCATGTTATTGTACAAACATCCGTGAAACTAAAGAGAAGACGTTACACGGTCTCCAATCACTTCATTGAATGAAAAAAATAAATGCCATGAAATTGAATGTAGATTAAATATGTCATTCTGCCTAAAATATATCCTATGTTAATATTATAAATATTATATGAAAAGCAGTATAATAATAAAAGTAATACGAATAGATGACATTTTAAAATATTAATAATAATAATAATTCTAAGTTTTTAATTCTAATATAATATTCACAATATTACTGATCTTGGTGAGCATCTTTAAAAACATCAAAACAAAATCTTACCGACCCCAAACAATAGTTAATATATCATGTTAGTTTCTCACCTTTTGGTTAATAGACTGCACACTTAAGTGGTTTTCAATAATGACTGAATTATATGTAATGATTTAAGCAAATAGCATTTATGTCGTTTCATGGGAATGGGATTATGGATTTGGAATGTAGAGGAACAGGAATGTGGTTTAATATATATATATATAACTTTTTTTTTTTTTTTTTAATCTTTATCAGAATGTTTTCCACAGCTTCATACATCTGTAAATGCACAGTAATAGATGTTGGTCCAGCAGGAGAATTTTTCCACATGGTCTCAGGAGTTTTAGTCAGCAGCTTCAGGCTGGCTTGACTGATGATGTCTGAGTGTCAGGGTTGGCAGCTAAGACAGCGGGAGCTGCTGTCGTTCCATCAGGCGTGCAGTGGCCGAGGGCTGTGAATAAAATACGAAAGATAGAAATTTATGAAGGTGCTGCAGACAAGGTCCTTGATCCTCCTGCACTGCAGCTGTGTCATATGCCCCTCACTGAATGACTGATGCTGATACACCAGTACTGCAGGATGGCAGAAGCAGCTTGTACTGATCTGGTACAGAATGTGCCCACGGGAGAATTAGAGTGATAAGTGTGGTAATTCTGAGCGAAGGGGTTCGTGTGTATGTGTCCTTCCACGTTTATGTCGGTAAGTATTCTGTAATGTCCTGTGGGAAAGGCTGTCAGATTCAAAGACTGTCCTCTGAACAGTGCTTATCCCTCCCGAGGGATACAGTGACCGACCATCTGCGCGTCATTAAATTGCACAACTTACTCTTGTCCCTCTTGGGATCGAGACGACACATCACTGACAACCCATGCTTGTTCACACTGAACCCATTTCCAGTATGTTCTTCAAATCTGACCTGTAGGACTGCTTGTCCTCATCATCTCGCTGTCATTTGGCACATAATGAACTACTTTTTGCACATTTATGCATACGCTGCATCCGAAACCGCTCCATTTTAGTACATAAAGGAGACCACATGTGAATATAAATGAGCCAATTCAATTCCAGCTGTATACACCAGAGATATTATCGTTAACCAGATATTTTAAATAAACATTAATTGAAATTAAAAAAAAGTAAAAATGCTTTTTATTTATTAAAGGGGTCATATGATGCGATTTCAAGTTTTCCTTTCTCTTTGGAGTGTTACAAGCTGATTGTGCATAGATAAGATCCCTGAAGTTGCAAAGACTAAAGTCTCAAAACCAAAGAGATATTCTTTATCAGTGTGTGTGAGAGAGAGACAGCGTCACATCAAAGTGGAGTCAGCTGTCTTAACCGCGGCTTGTGTACTGCATCATTACGGTGTCTGTTCCCCTTTCGGACTTGAACAGATGGTAAAACTAATGACATTATTTACTGTCTTTACATTTATTTTGAAAGATGAAGCTCGCGATTATGTTAAGGGGCGTTACATTTCCAACGAGTGCTTGCGGTGTTCGGCCAATCACAATGCACTGGGTCAGCTGGCCAATCAGAGCAGACTGCGCTTGTCGGAAGGAGGGACTTTGTAGAAAACGAAGCGTTTGAGAGAGGCGGGGCAAAGAGGACCTACAATAATGTACAGTATTTGAAAAATAATGTGTTTTTTGAACATTAAAGTATGTCAACATATTCTGTTACACCAAATACACAAAATAATGATCTTTAAAAAAGCATCATATGACCCCTTTAAGATTTTTTTTTAGCTTGTTGCAGTGCAAACACAACATTTCTCATTTTCTTTTAGTTGAAGTTGAAGTACTAAAATAGCTCAAACTAAGAGCTAAAACTTAAAATAAAAGCTATATAGACATTAAAAAAACTAATAAAAATGACAAAAACACGGCAAAATTGCAAAAACTTTAACTGTGTATTATAAAAAAAGAATTTAAAGTATTAATAAAAACTGTAATTATATCAGTGTTGGGTGTAATGCTATTTTTAGTAAAGTAATTTATTAAAGTAATTGAATTATTTTTCCCTTGAAAAAGTAAAGTAAGGGATTACTCCTAATTTTTCTATAATTTAATTGCAGTTACTTCTGATGTAATTGCATTAAATACTGTATAGACTGTAGAACAATTCTTTATAAAACAATAGTGAATGTAACATCTGATGTTAAAATTCATGTTTTAATGTAACCATCTCCCTTTAAATACTTTGGTCTGTTTGAGAATAATTTATTTGAGTTAGTTTAGTTTTATATTATTTCTTTGAAAGAATTATAAGTGATGTTGCATGTCTATCGTTGTTTTGCTGAGGTTGATATGGTTGAGGTTGATATGGGAATAAGTAAATAGTAATATTTTTTTACTTCTACTATTTTAGGCCTGTGGATAGCTATGGTTAAATGATATGTTTTGAGTTGAATGCATTATCTCATATCAACAGACCATGAAGAAATACATTTGATTTGCATCTAACTCACTAATGTAGTCTGTTGTAGGTACCATTCCTCCTGGTGTGAACCCTGAGGCCTACCAATGGTTTTGTTCTGTGGATACAGATCGTAGTGGCTACATTAGCGCGAAAGAACTGAAGCAAGCCCTCATGAATTCCAACAACTCCTCTTTCAATGACGAAACCTGCATGATGATGCTCAGTGAGTGTTACCATTGCTAAGATAACCCTCCTGATAGCGGCTAAGTTACTGAATAGATGCTTATATCACCATGTAACTAAATAACAGAATGCTGCAGTGTCACATAAACAATACAAAAATAGAAGTCATCTGATGACATCTCCAGTGCCAAAGGAAACTGAAGCAAAAATCAGTGCTTTGTCTTCATTTCCAGATATGTTTGACAAGACCAAAACAGGACGTGTAGATGTATTTGGTTTCTCTGCACTGTGGACGTTTCTGCAGCAGTGGAGGGCAGTATTCCAACAGTTCGACCGCGACCGATCCGGATCAATTAACAGCAATGAGATGCACCAGGGTGAGTAAATTAGAGGTCAAGAGAGAGACCCAAGATAACACATTTGCAGGAAAGGCCACATGTTCACACTGTTATGACAACAGTCACGGTCACTAAGGACAGATTCCAGCATTCCCTTGCTGTATTCAGGTTCCAAAATGTACTTGTTTGACATACCTGCCAGTGATGGGTCAAAATATATATATATAAATTGCATATTTATGACAAACAAAATAGTACAACATAAGACAGTCACAAAAATATTAAGAAATTTTGAATTGTGAATATTTTCATTTTTGTGGTTTAATTTGAGGAATATTCCACATATGTCTACTATACAATTCAAAAGTGAATGGTAGTGTAGATTTAGTCTTTTACGCTCATCAAAACTGCGTTTATCAAAATACAGTAAAACAGTAATAGTGTGAACTTTACACTATTACTGTTTTTACTGTATTTTGTAAAGTATTATTTATTTTATTATTTAATATATTTTACAGTGTATTTTTCCTGTGGTGGCAAAGCTGAATTTTCAGCATTCATTACTCCAGTTCTCAGTGTCGCATGATTCTTCAGAAATCATTCTAATATGCTGATTTTGTGCTCAAGAAATATTTCTGTTGAAAACAGTTGTGCTGCTTTATATTTTTGTGGAAGCTGTGATGCTTTTTGCAGGATTCTTTGATGAATAGAAAATTCAGGAGAACAGCATTTATTTGAAATTATTTTATTTTTTTTGTGACCCAAACTTTTGAACAGTGTTGTATCTCCACATAAATTCTGGATAATAATAAAAACAACTGCATAATTTGAATCAGCTTTTGTAACATACTTACTGTACCAGTGAGGGTCAGATTGTCATTCTTATAATTTGACAGACGACACATATTGTGTTGTCATGCTTATTTTGTCAGTTAAGCCGGTTCTGTGATTAGTAGTAAATCTCCATCACGTGCTTTCAGATGGAGCAACGTTTACTACACAGAGCCATAGTTCACTGACAAGCTACGCAAAATCACGTTCATAATAGCAGACGATTTAATCGCGCAATTATGAAATCGAAGAAATCGTTCTGCGATTATGAAAGCTGTTTGCGTAGCTCGTCAGTGAACTACGGCTCTGTGTAATAAATGCTGCTCCATCTGAAAGCACGTGAAAATACCACATTTAATACACACGTCAGTCGAGTGTTTGAAATAAATCCTCTGTGAGATGATGTGGCTTCTTACATAGAATAAGGCACGCAGCATATTTCATAGTATTCTAAGCAGTGATAAAGGCTATGTCGATTAGCATTGCGTTATTATATACTTTAATATAATAAAAATTATAATAATACGAACTCAGATAAACCATATATTGTCATAGTCGTGTGTTTATTAGTCATGTTGAATTAATCAAAGCAGTTAAATTTTCTGTTTATTCAGCAACTGCTATAGGAATTTCCTGGGTTTCTTCTGCGAGGCGTATTTGGAGTTTCAGCGCGAGAGCGCCCTCTGGCCTTCGGATGGAGATTTACTGCTAATCACAGAACCGTGCTTCACTGAAAGATACGCATGACAATCGCAGCTTCTGCCTAATCGCGATTTATCGCCTTTGTGATTTAATTTCGATTAATCGTGCAGCCCTAGTTCGGTGACACACACACACGAGGTATTGCAGTCACAGAGGCAAGGAAAAGACAGTTGCTGAGCTTGTGAACCCCTTTTCCCATCTAATCCTGTGCTATTAAATAAGCCATTATTAGACGTCATGGAAAATTGCTCTTAAAATAACCTAAAATTTTTTGTCTTTTTTATACTCATTAATTTTGTATGAAAAAGTCTGTTCATGACTGCCAGAGCATATTCATCTGCAGCGATTGTTGAAGCCATTATAAAGATGTGAATAGGTCTGAAAGTGTATGTCTGATTACTGGAGAGTGACAGCGTGTTGAAAACATGGTGGATACAAAAACAACAGTAGAACGATTTAACAGGGCCTGTGGAGAGAAAATTAGGGATTTAGGGACCCTTGGAGGCTTTTTTGGAGAAAAGTCCTTCTAACATGGTTCATTTCCAAAACTCCTCCATTTTTTTTTTGTTGCCGACTCATTTAAGAAACATAAACCTTTATGTAAAACCAGAGGTTAGCAATGTAAGCATTCCCTTATTTTTTATTTAGTTATTTATTTAAAGAAATTAATACTTTTATTCAGCAAGGATTCATTAATTAATCAAAAGTGACAAAGTAATTTATAATATTACAAAAGATTTCGGTTTCAAATAAATGCTGTTCTTTTGAACTTTCTATTCATCAAAGAATCCGGACTGAAAATGGATCATGGTTTCTTTCACAAAAAAATTATTAAGCAACAACTGCATCATTGAAAATAATAAGAAATGTTACTTGAGCAAATCAGCATATTAGAAAGATTTCTGATGTATCACGTGACACTGAAAATTGGAGTAATGCTGCTGAAAATTCAGCTTTGCATAACAGAAATAAATACGATTTTAACTAGGGATGCACTGATATGAAAATTTTGGCCGATACCGATAACCGATAATCCTTTATTTTTGAAAGCCGATAACCGATATGTTGGCCGATAAATCTATATCCAAATTTTTATATACTTTTTGAGAGCCTGATTACAAAAAAGGTCTCATCATTAAAAACCACATCCCGAACACTTCAACATAAGCAGCCTAGTTTGAACGGTGTATGTTTTAAAAATAATTTTACTCTCCCATTACCAAATTTAGTCATAAAAAAGTCTTACAAATAAAATAATGCAAACAAGTCACTGGACATCATTACACGTGTAAAGAATCAAAATGAATGCGCCATAGATCAATAAAACGGAATAGCCTCTGCACGGACAATAATTAAATGATTTTAATTACTAAACCATATTGCTGATGAAAATAATAATAGAAAAATACAAGTGGTTGTTATTATTAATAATGTATCAATGATTTTGAAAAAGTAACAAATTAATACCACTGTTTTAAACAGCAGCCGTTTGAGCTGCGCGTGCTGAAGCTGAAGAGCTGAATGAACACGGTAAACTGAAGCGTTTTGCTGGCAGCTTATTTAAATCAAGGAAATGCATCCTGAGATTAATATTAATACAACATAAACATAATAATACAACTTATATATGTACAAAATGATGCAGTTATTGCGTGCTATAGTCAGAATGTGTGATCCTGTTGTGGATGCGCTCTTCCCATAACAACGCGCTGAAACACGGCAACTAAACCCATAGAATTCACAACGTTTTATTATAATAATTTTCTCATTAGAATGTTATATACACGACATTCCCAATCATAGTTATTAATGTTGTGCACTGCTGTTTGAGTTTATCACTGGTAAACTGAAGCGCTCTTTTAACTTAACCAAACGCATTCTATATGAGATAAATCAGATATACATCAAATAAACACAATATTACAACGTACAATTGCACAAAAGGCTGCAAACGAACAGCGCGCATCTGAAGTGTCTCTGAAGGAAATAATGCATTATTTATCGGCTTTAAGATATCGGCCAAATTTTCTTATTGGGCCGATACCGATAACAGAAAAAAATTAGCATTTATCGGCCGATACCGATATGGTGGCCGATATATCGTGCATCCCTAATTTTAACATTTACAAAAAAAGAAAAAAGTTATTAACATGTGAATAATATTTTACAGTATTACCGTTTTTATTGTATTTTATATCAGATAAATTCAGCCTTGGAGAGCATAAGAGACTTCTTTCAAAAAAAAAAACGTATATGGTAAATGTAATGTTTTGATAACCAATGTGTTGCTTATTTCCCAGCATTATCTCAGATGGGCTACAATCTGAGTCCTCAGTTCATTCAGGAGCTGGTGAACCGTTACTCTGCGCGGGGTGTGAACAGGGTTCTCCAGCTGGACCGCTTCATTCAGGTGTGCACGCAGCTTCAGAGCATGACCCAAGCATTCCGCGAGAAAGACACCGCCATGACTGGCAATGTGAGGATGAGTTACGAAGACTTCCTTTCTGGTGCCATTACCAGACTGATGTGAAGGACTGCATCAGCAATTCAGAAGATGATCTGACTCTGAATGTACAGCATGACACTTCACGCTCTCAACAGTGCCTTTCACTGCAGCATACCCTGATTTGACCACATTTATGCGAAAACTATGTTCATTAAGTATTGCCAGCTAGCCAATTAAAGCACTCACCGCAAGAGACTACCATTGTGATATGGTTGTCTGTAATGCAGCCAGTTATTCAAGACTAAACTAATGCCAAACATATTAGTGGTACATGTGAATAAAATGACATTAGCTACGCAGCTAGCACTAGTTACTAACTATTGGGAGTATGTCATAGAAGTATAATTACATTTGATGTTCTTTGTCAGTATGAACATTTCTGTACTTTTTAGATATTAGCAAAAAAATCCTGATTATGAATGCTTGAAATGAAAATATTGTTAGGTTTTCCTTCCCAAGGAAATTGCTTTATGCTTTTTTTTATTATGATAATATTTATGCTCTCCTAACACCCTTTTATAACCTTTCCTTATATATTGATATTTTTTTCTGCTGCTTTTTTGCTTGCAATTAAACAATGTAATTAAAGTAATTCAGTTTTGTTGTATTTGTTTAATTGTCATGTTTTTTCTCATTTATTTGTCATTTTTCCTTTTTTTAATTTTAAAATAAATGTTTTCATTTAAAAAAATATTGTTTCTGAATTGAGTATAACATATTTGTACTATATATACAATTGAACTGTATTGTACTATTATTATTATTATTATTATCATTACATTTAGTCATTTCGCAGACGCTTTTATCCAAAGCGACTTACAAATGAGGATAATAATATTAATACAATAATATTATATTATTAATGAAATAATACATTATTACAATATTGGTATTATTCAAAAATGAGCTTTAAGTTCAGGACAAATGCTCACAGTATGCTTCAACATTGGTCACTAGGTGTCAGGATCGCTTTAACAGGACATCCTGTATAGAACTTTCCCCCAGAACGAATGAGACTTGAGAACGTCTTTCTGACGTACAAAAATAGCCAATCAGATTGTTGCTTACAGTAGGGATGGGCGATACCACTTATTTTGTTTTCGATACGATACCGATATTTTTCAAGGCAGTATCGCCGATACCGATACGATACTTCTGAACTAAACTTTTAAATTATGAAATTGATTCAATTATTAAATGACTAAGAGTAAAATGGGTAATGATAACCTCTTAACTTTATGTTTAAAACACATTTTAACATTCAATACGCCTTAATTGTAAATTATTAGGTTATATTTTTGTTTACACATGATTCAAATCTACAAATACTACAGTTGAACTACGGTCACTTTAGTGAAACCATGGTTCATTTTCATAAGGGACTGCCAGTGACCGGCTGCTGCATGCATAAAATGCAACCTTTTTATTCTGACAGCGTATTATTTATATTAACATTACAGAATAGAACATGATCAATATTATCTTTCAACGTTCAATTTAAATAATTGTAATTGCACAAACTATGTAGGCTACAATTTCAGTTTGTTTATTGTGAAATAACTCTGTCCTTCTGTCCTCTGATGAGCATTGTTCAGGGCTGCAGTTCCCAAAATCGTTAATGCTTTCTTATGATACTTTTGGGAGACGCAGCACAGTTTGAATGCACTGCCAGCAGTGAGTGAACGCTCTCTGTGATGGAGAAGTTCTGTCTTGCAACATGTGTGTGTCCAGATGAGCAGGAACATAGTTATGTCCTACACAATTACTCGCTAACAAAGGTTATTCGTCCAATTCAATGCATATTGTACGCATTATTATTATTATTATTTTTGTTAAATAAACAAAACCACTAGTACATAAAACGCACCTTAGTATCGATATTTTTTGTTTGAGTATCGATACTTTCGATACTCACATCAGTATCGATATATCGATACTTCGGATCGATACGCCCATCCCTAGCTTACAGAGACGCTAGAAGCCAAGGCAGGAAGTTGAATAGCCTGGAGATAGAGGTACGTATAGTCATGAGATTTTATAAACGTACGCGCGAATGATTTAGTGAATTTATGAAATATTACGCACTAAGTTGTCAGCGAGTCTCTCGTTATGCTTTCAGGAACATATATAAATACAAATGTATTAATGTATTTTATTGCGCCATTAAACACATGCTTTGACACCGGTACCCTTGTAACAGTTAAGTTACGTGATTCTTTAATGCTCAGGTTATGTAACGTTAGTTGGACACGTTAACATAATAACACTAATTTAATTTCTTCTGCCATATATATATATATATATATATATATATATATATATAT